CTATTCTATTCTCTTTTCTATTCTATTCTATATTCTATCCTTTTCCTGTTCTATTCTATTTTCTATTCTGTTAATTCTATTCTATTTTCCATTTCTCTTCTATTGTATTCCATTCCATTCTTTTCTATTCTCTTTTCTATTCTATTCCATTCCATTCTTTTCTATTCTCTTTTCTATTCTATTCTATTCTATTCTATTCTTTCTTCACTCCATTATTCTATTCTATTCTATTCTATTCTATTCTATTCTATTCTATTCTATTCTATTCTATTCTATTCTATTCTATTCTACAGTATATCCTATCCCATCCTCTATATTTTATATTCTATATTCTGTATTCCATTCCATTCCATTCTATTCTATATCCTATATTGTATTTTATTTCTATGTTGTGTTTTGTATTCCATATTCAGTATTCCATTCCATTCTATATTTATATTCTATATTCTATAATATGGTATAATGTGGCTTTTTTTTAACAGGCACCGTGTGGGTCTCCAACTTGTCTCTTTTGGACCCTGTTCCCTTCTCGCCTTACCAGGCCTTCTGACTCTATCCGGCCCCCACCCCTAATTCCCCTGCGTGGGAGCCCCCCCCCTCAGTAAAGTTTCCCCAGCTCAATGCAAACATGGGGCAGGCTCGTACCGCACACTGACACACTTCCCCAGAGCCCCCACCCACCCAAAAGGGGAATGTCTTCCTCCTGATGGCCCTGGCAGCTGTCTCATCACCCCTCTTTCCCCCCCCCTCAGCACCCCCTCCCACCCCACCCACCCACCCCGGCAGGGAAAGGGAGGCATTAGCTGACGGTTAAGGGGGCTTTTTCCACAGGAGCCCCTGCAGGTTTGCAAACGAAAAGGAATTTAATCCCCCTGCTAACGTTTTTTAAATCGTGCCTACCGTCCCTGTCCTATTGTTTCTTCTTTATTTTTCTTATAAGTATCTATCTCGTGTATTCAAAACTATGTTTATTCTTATACCTGTATCTTGTAAGCGATTGACAAATCAAATAAATACTAAATACTAAAAAAAAGAAAACAGGGGATGATTTGGCTCTTCAGGAGGCATAAAACACCCCAGAAACCGTCTGGATGCTTTTTTATTTATTTCCTGTAATTTGCATCACAGAATCGGACTTTGAAGTCACTTAAGGACATCTAGTCAACCCCCCCCCGCCATGCCAGTTCATGCAAGACCCGCTAAGGATTGGAGACCTCAACTCCCAAAATTGGAGCTACAGATATTCTCTTCCAGCAGTCCTCCCAGACTTTCCCAGCCAGTGGGATTTAAGAGGGGTGGGCTTCGACTCCCAGAATCACCCAGTCAGCCTTGTTTTAAGATGGCTGGACTCCCAGAATCCCCCAGTCAGCC